GGGCGAATCTTTTTCGGGAGGGGCAGAATGATAGAGACGAAATTGCGTTGGTCTTTTTGGACAAGCATGATCGTTTATCATCATTGGTTCAATTATTTATTTTTATTATTTAATTTATTTATTTTCTTTGTTTTAATTTTTATTAAGGACATACTATATTTGTAAAGAAGCTTATTTATTTTATTCGAATCATTTACTTGTTGGTCAAGATATGAGGTTAGATGTTCTATTTATAGACCCATCTTCTATTGTTTTGAAAGAGTTGTTTTGATTGAAACAAAAAATATATCGAGAGTTTTCTCTTGATTCTCCCAATCGTTTACGCTTTCATAGTGAGATTTTAAGTTTATATTAAAGTAATATAATTAAGGTTGATTTGATATATAAGTATAAGATAAGTGATGTGAATTGATTGATAAATTGTTTATGGATTCAACTAGTTTTTTTTTGTTTGTTTTTTAACTATAGTTAATTTTGAAAAAAAAATATAGTTAATTGTTAGTGGATAAATTAAAATAATATTTAAATAAAATAATTAAAGTTGATTTGATGTAAAGTAGGAGAAAAATGATTGGAAGTGATGATTAATTAAAATTATGTGAGTGTATGAATAGTGAATTAAAGTTGATGTGATGTGTAAGAATGATTGGTTGATATTATTTAATTATATTGATAATATCAGAGATAGTGGAGATGGGTTAAAGTTGAGTTAAATTTGAGTTTTGATTGATTTTTTTACTGTAGAAACCATAAAGAATCGCCCCCTAAAGTTATGTTAGTGAATTAAAGGCAAAGTTTGATGCTATATGTTGCCCCCACATGTTTTTTTACTCTTCATCTCACACACACTGATATGGGTATGAATGTGTGTAGATAAAGGGTGAAAAAAATATGTGGGGCGTTGCCCATACATATAGCATCAAAATTATCTAATTAAAGTTAATGTGATGTGTAAAAATAATTGATTGATGTTATTTAATTATAATGATAATATTAAAAATAGTAGGGTTATTTTAAAATTAGTTAAATTTTTGAATATAAGACTTCTCTTATCGGTGACCCAACCTAATGGGTCACCAAGAAAAGGACAAAAAAAGACAAAAAAAAAATAATAAAAAAACAAAACAGATGTAAAATACGCGACCCAGGTCACATGGTGACCTTGGGTCGCAACCGGGCGCAACCAACACTTTTGCATTATCTTTTTTTTTTAATCAATTAGTGGGTGAATTGGACGCTTTTTGAGTTTTCTTTTT